TCTTGTTGTGGTCTAGGGTCTGTCAGAGGCATGGCCAGGGTGGAGATGGGAAGGGGCCCAGCTACATGGGACGGGCTTCCTGACGGGGCACCAGCTCTTCCCCCCAGGCTTGTCTTAGGGTCTTCCCTGAGAATGAGTCTTTGCCTTTTTGTGAACCGGTCTGTTCTCTGCACTTTCTAGCCATTATAATTCACACCATCACACTTGGCCTACAGAGTGCAAAGGGTCTGGCAGAACCCCTTGTGGGGACTCTGTGGGTTCTGATTTCCTATTCCTGACCCACGCACCCAAGGCCCTGTTTTGTGTGTCTAAGTTGTTGTGCTAAGTGAGACCCGAGCAGTCAGCATGGCCCATGGGCAGATGGACAGTTCAAAGCAGGCTTCACTTTGAGGCAAAGAAGGTAACTTGCCAGAGGCAGGGTGGCCCTTGTGGAGCGCAGACACCTCTAGTGCTCCTGAGGCTGCTGGGGGTGGGGTAGGAGTGGACCACCTAATGGCCTCTCCTGCCCCCCAGGGCTTGGAGGAGTATCCCCAGGGCACTTGCTTTTGTGGATTCTTGTGCGGTGAAAGCCTTTTGGTCGTATCCCATCTGGATACAGGGCTGGACATAGGGTTCAGGATCTGTAAGAGACTCGGTCTTGTTCCCAGTGTTTCCTGGCACCTTGGGCAATGTCAAGGAAACATTCATCTTCACATTCTTTCTTCTGTTCTGGGCCATTTCCATATAGACATTGGCATGACAAGAGGCAGGGTCTCCTTATGCTGGACAGAAGTGCCAGGAAAAGGTGAGAAATCCAGGCATTGAGGACGCAAGGCAGATGCAGGAGGGAGGGAGCCAGCCTAGTTTGGGTTCTCTTTCTCAGGGATATCTCTTTCTCCCAATGCCTTGTCTTTGGGAAGGCAGAGGCTGGGGAGGAGGAATTATGTGGAGTGCAAACCCAGGAGGCTCTTCTCCCCCTTCCATTAGAGGGCTGGAGCCCCACCTGCCCATGTCTGCAGTTTAAGAGCTTAGGTTTGGGGATCAGACAGACCTGAGTTCTTTTCCTGTCTTTGCCATGTATTAGCTGTGTGTCCTTGGGCAAATCCCTTAACCTGCGAATGCCTGTTTCCTGTCTGTAAGTTGGAATGATATTCACGCCCCTGCTCCTATGATAGATCATGTGTAAAGGACTTTATCAATGATCTGTGGCTCTGTAAGAGACCATCACAAGACCTTAGTGGCTTAAAGTAACAATGGTTTCCTTAGCCCATCATTCCTCCAGTGAGCCAGCCTCACTCCCACTCCTACATCACTGGCGTTTGGCTGGCAGCTGGACAGCCTGCGATGGCCTCATTCCCAGGTTCTGGTATTGGACCGGCTGCCCGCCAGGGACTGGGACTGTTGTTGGCTGGGCCCCCACCTTTCTTCCACGTAGCCTCATCCTCAGGTAGGCTGGCTCAGGTGTGTTCCTTGGGGAGCTCAGCGTTCCAAACTCTAAAGCACAAGCTCTTCTCAAGGTTCTGTTTGTATCATGTTACTCACGTCTCATTGGCTGTCCAGACCAAAGAGATGGAAATAGACTCTACCTCTCGACGATGGGGGAGAACTTGCGGCCATATCTTGCAGCCCAGTGCCCGGCTTGTGTCGCCCCCCCGTGGGGTTTTGTGGGCATTTATCTCACGGTGAGCAGTCCAGATCTGGGTTGGGCCTGCCAGCAGTTCCGCAGAGGGTCATCGCCTGCACACAGATTTGAAAGTGTGCCCTTTCCAGAAGTTTGGAAGACAATCCAGGAGTTGACAGCGGGGCGCTCTTCGAGGGCCTCCTGCATCACAAGAGGGCTCCATGGCTGACAGAGTGATATTGTGTGAAAACCTGGATGTTGAGCCTCAGCTGAAAGGTGATTCAGCTCTTCTAACCCTTTGGGAGAGGACAGAAAATACATATTGGTCTCTCCCCGCTGGTCCTGGCACGGAGCTCCTGAAACTCTTGTAAATTCCTAAGTGATAACAGTAGGAGCACCTTTTGTTCTGATGGGGTAACTTAGGTGGGCTCCTGCGTGGCTCGGCTGGTCACCAGAAAGACCAAGGAATGATTAGAGAAGCTTGTAATTTTCAGCTTGGTCCCCATCCTCTAGAGAGGGAAAAGGGGCTGGAAATGGAGCTAATGACCAATCACGCCTTCATGATGATTTTACTTCTGTAAAATCCCAAAAGTACAGTGTTGGGAGAGTTTCCAGGTTGGCGAACACAACAGTTGGAGGGAGATGTACCCCAATTCCATGAGGACAGATGGCCTGTGTTTGGGATTCCCCTGGACCTCACCCTGTGTAGCGGTTCATCTCACCTGTACCCTTTCTCACAGCCTTTAATGATCTGGTAACTGTGTTTACCTGACTTCTATGAGCCACTCTAGCAAATTAATCAAACCTGAGGAGGGGGTCGTGGGAACCCCGGATTTGTTGACAGAAGTTGTGGGAAATCTGGGGACCTACTGTTGGAAGTGGCATCTGAAGTGGGCGGTAAGCTGATAAGACAGAGCCCTTCACCTGTGGGATCTGATACTGTCCCCATAAATAGTGTCAGAATTTATTTGAATTGTAGTATACCCAGTTGGTGTCACAGTGAATTGCTTAGGGGGAAAATGCCCACACATTTGGGGGCCAGACCTGTCAGAAGTAGAGGAGATACTCAGGAGGAAGGGTTACGTAGGAGGGAAGAACCGGGTTTTAATACTCAGGACAACCAAGTTGGTTTTTAGTTCACCCTTCAGAAGTCAGGGCTCAGGATACCCTCAAAGCATTTTTCACTTATGCTTGTTTTATCATATATGCATAAACATGATTATATGGTAAAGTTTGTTTAAACAAATCTGTAAGTGCTCTTTCAATTCGAGGTGTTAAGAGAATCTTGTGTTATTGTTTGGCCCTTCCACAGTTCATCCTAAATAGAAACGAGCCAAGCATCACTCTATGCTCCCTCTGCCTGTTGTTCACCAGTGTGACAGCCCTATGGCCCTCTGTCCACTGCTGGTCCCCCGGCCCCACGGTGTGTGCAAAGCAGGCTCCGAGGCCTCATTTCTAACCTTAAGCTGCCATAGGTTTAACTGAAAAAAAAAAAAAATCTGTTTTGTAATCTTTATGAGATGGTCACAAGAGGAGACCGAAGAGGCTCAGGAAAAAACAAATTGCATTATATTCACAGGTCCTAGACACTGGAGGAATGGCAGGCTGTGAAAGGCCACACGAGGCAGCTCCAAGGTGCTAGGAGACAGAATAGTAAGGCTGATTTTGATAGAGATCAAGGTCTTTATCAGAGTTTTCCCATGAAAGTTAAGGCTGAGCAGGGTAAACCGCTACGATCGGCTAGTTTCAATAGTTTTGGTGGGCTGTGGGCTACAGCGGTGGTAGCTGCCCGGCAGCTGGCCAGGGTATGATGAAGGTAGCACACTATAGCCTCCTAGGATTGAGGCCAGACAGAGGAGGTGTGGCTCTGAGTTGGACAGTTTCTTAACAACGGCAGTCTCCTGTGGGCCC